CGAAAAACTCTTAGATAGACCCTCCTCATTTTAAGCTCATCCCAGTTGATCAAGACTTGGCCAACTTCCTCATAGATACTCCGCCCTATAAAAAAAAACTTCTTCAACCTGAAACCAGCCTTTTTAGCCCCTTAAGCCCCAAGCCCACTTAACCCGCTAACTCCAATCAAGGCGAAAAAAACCGGTGGCGAAAAACAGTCAGCCATAAATTTATCAGCGAAACATGAAACGTGCGAGCGGCCAAAAAAGATACCCAGATATGTTTGTTCAGCGTGAGATACTCCGATGCGGGGCGATACCCAAAGCAGATGTAGATACGGATCCAGATCCAGATAAATATAAAGATACATGCAAAAGCAATCAGTGTATTGACCACTACGATTTTTGACATGCTACGCATACAAATTAGCGCAGGCTGCCCCCTCATTTCTGCCAACAGCCTTTGCATTTTTCTGATTTTCTCTCTGCGGCTCATTTGAAAGCGAAAAAGCGGAGAAGGCGAAGAGCAATCCCCAATAAAGAAGCCAACCAAAGGCAAAAAAGGAGAACTGAACTGAGAGCAGAACGCGACAAACAGAAGCCAAAGCAAGATTGAAGCAGTTAAAGAAAAAAGAATTATATATATAAATACAAACGGCATGGGCAAAAAGAAGCGAGTGAAAAAAGTGCTGAAAGGGTACGAATAAGTATCGCAAAATCCAGAAAAAATAAACATTCCAAAGAACCCACAACGTGGGCGAATGAAAAATGCTCTTCAACAGGCAACCTGGCTCTCAAACATTTTGTTATTGATAAACAGAAACGATTGTTCAATGGTTTCAAATTTATATGTAATAAACAAAATTATTTTGCATACTTTTTTCTATATTTTAATGGTGTCTTATGTCAGCTAATAGTGAACTTTTTGCACTTCTTTTGTTTTGAATTATATTTTACCATTTTAAATAAATTTTGTAGCATATTCTCTGAGATACACGAGCTTAGCATGCGCAGCAGCACCAAATGCTTTCGGCCAAGAAAATTAACATTCAGAGGTAAGAGGTAAGAAGAAAAAAGAAGAGCATTAATAGCACGGCTTAGAGCAAAAACACGCAACGCTCCCATCTAATCAAGAATTTCGCACAGAAATTCAGCAGCGCTGCACAAAAACTATTGGCATCATCAAGTACCCAAAACACAATCCATGCTAATGATCCAAAGTGTCTCGAAGACAGGCTGCCCCGAATCCAATTCCAGTAGCCAACGCAATTAGCCGAAGGTGAGAAAGGTGAGGGGATTTTTGGGTTGGTTATTCAGGCATGACAATCGCTGTAGAGTTGGCCAAGAAATGCCATCACGTCACGCGTCTTTCCGGCGACTTTAATCGCATGCGGAATGCAAAAATAAATAAATAAATAAATATATAAAATGTAATGGTAAATCAATTAATATTCATAAGCCGTTGAGCCAGTGGCTGCTAGTCACCTTTGCTGACTGCAAAACCTACGGCTTGCGGAATGCAGAACACCATTACGGAGATTATTCAGCATTAATTGAAATTCAAAAGCGCTTTTCTATCAACGCTTCATGCAAATATTTACAGAAATTAATTTTTCACATACTGCTATCGTCAAAGCGAAGAGCAAAATTGGCTTGGTGCGACAAAAAAACCATATAAAAATCATTGCCATGTCGATTTAAAAACAACGACGTGCAAAGAGACGTACAAAACTTTAGAAAAATATTTACTTTCTGCAAGTGCTGCAAGTGGTGAAAATTTTTCTGTAACCGAAACCAATGACGAGGTCGCTTGGGGGGTTAAACAAAATAAAAGCCGGCAGCTTCGTCATCAGTAAGCAAATGTTATTGAATTTTTATTATAATATTTATTCACTATTTTATTGTGTTCGACCCGCGAGCAACATCATTTGTATGTTGCTGGGGAACTCTGACTGCAATTCGGCTGCGTATGAAACTTGTTTAAACAGCTGCGAGTTTAAATCTGCCACCCACCTCAAAAAAGGGAAAAATATGGAGTGCATAAACATGACTACAGATATACGAACCGAGAGATATAAATTCTCCGCTTGCCAGTTATAAATTCCATATGCCAAAGCATCAAAACAAAAAGGGGCACGAGTTTTTTTAGTTCTGCGCTGCCAAAATAAAACTTTGAGGATTTTCCAGAGGGGCAGGGCAGCAAAAAAGCTGTGGCTGATTCCATGGTGTTGGATTGGGGAATTTGGGGTAACATAAACTAAGTGTTGGCCACTTTTAAATTCCAAACTTATAATACGCCGTATTATTTCTCAAGCTATACAGCTTGTTTCAAATACCTGCCCATATTTTGGTTACAGATTTTGGTTATTGATTTAATGCCTTTACATATCGCCCTTTGTGCACAAAATAACTGGAATAATTTGCAGGAATGCCCAAAACACATATTCACTTTGGTTTGTCATTTCTTTTGTTTATTAAACTCAACCCTCTAAGTATCGATGTTGCCACAACGGACAACAAAGTGCCAGCTAGCTAAACCAATTTATTGTGTCTAAAAACCCCTTTGTAGCCAATGCCAATGCCTCTGGCCATCTCATTCATACTTTGCTGTGAAGTTGCAGCTTTGATTTTGCAAATGCAAATCGTGCAGATAGATAAATTTTACTCTACAGGAAAAGCGCTTCTCATTTCCACTGCATCTGTTGCAAGCCTCTGCGCTCCACCTGTCTCTTTCTGCACCCCTGCACCCGTCTCCCTCACTCTCTCTCCCTCTCTCGCTTTTTTGGGGCGACCCATTTCCGCACACGTCGCAGGATTTTGCACGTAAAAAATGTTTGAAACAAACAAAATATTTGTTTAATTTATTTTAATTTCAAAGTTGCAGCAGTTGCAGATATTTTTGCACCAAGAACGTGTGTGTGTATGTGTGTGTGAAAAAGGATATGACGGGGGCCAAAAAAAAAAAAAAAAACAAGGACAATAACAACTCCGGAAAAGTGGGAAAACTAAGCCACAATCATAATTCACGCGCTAAAAACACGGAGGGAAATGTGGGAAAACAGCGGGGGAAGAGGGGAGGAGCCCAGGCATTTGGAAAAGCCAGGAAATGAAATGAGTGTGGAAGACTCAAAGGGAAAGCGGCATGGAAGCGGCAGAAAGGAAAAGGACGACAGTTAGCAGGTAGACAAACGAAAATAAAAACCAAAGGCAGGCGAAATAAACATAAAAACCAAAGGAGACGCACACAAATTGTTGCAAACTGCCTTTCGAGCACTTCTTAAGCAATATCCTGTGCTGCTCCTCGAGCATTTTATTGTACACATCGAGGCACAGAGGATTTTCCAAGGAAAACTCAGCCAAATTGGAATGCACTTGAAGGATCAACAGGATAAATGTGGTGACAATCAACGCAGATGGTGTAGAAAAAAAGACACAAACATGCGTGAAAAAAAATCATGAAAAGGGCGGTTTGGAAAATGCTGCTTAAATATTATATAAATATTAGATGCCAGCAAGCGTTTAAACTACCAGCAGGAAAACGGCAGGGTTATTAGTTCATCCTAGTTGCCATTACCCGGTAATTATGATCCTAAGCCGCAAAAGGTCTTAAGTTCTTCCACTCCTCGTTGCTAATCTTTTAATGCGTTTTTAATGTCTGATCTCCTGATGCCCGCCTGTTTTAAATGTCAATTCCCTCTTGGCCACTGTCATCAAATCTAATAATGCCCCCGAGTGGAGCAATTCCCCAGAAGCTTGGGGCCAAAAAACCTCCACAGAGAGTTCATTGATTTCTGGTTCTAGACACTTTTGTTTTTTCTCATTTTTTTTGTTCGGAGGCGTTGACAGTTAAGCTTCAAAGTCGACTTTTACGAGTAGTTCGCATAAAAGCGCTGGAAAACGCGTGTCAAAGGCCCAATTAAGATGTCAAATCAACACGTTTGTTTATTAACTGATTGCACACACACACAAAACACAAAACACAAGCGGAAAACGCGGAGAGCGCCATAAAGTTAATGGTGCAATATATATCTTTTGGGGGGTTAAGAACTCGGAGGGACGACTAGCCCCAACTAATCGCAGACAAATTAGTAAAGGAATTGCTCCCCTTTTTCGAGTTCCCTTGACCGATTTGCCCGATTGAGTGGATATAATTCACATTTAAATTTAGCCCCAGCCCTTGCCGACTTTTCCAGGGGTTCTTTAGGTATTAAAAAGCATTTTGTAAGCAAAGTATTATATGTGAGCAGGGAAAAACTTTGTCGAAGCGTGCCAAACTAAAGTTTTCTCATACTTATGCCACTGCGTCCCCCAGTTGTTCGCCTTTTATTCGGTGGCACAGTAAATATTCTTGCATAATAGAGCATTTCCCTGCTGATACGGAGCATCTGGAAAGTGCAAAATTATGACGGCATTTTTAATTGGGGCGATGCTTATCTCCTTAAAACTGTATAGTATAAACATAGTATACAGAGTGGATTAAGCAGTTTTGTTTATGGAATACCGACTGTACTTCAGCTTCAGATTCAATATCTTGCTAGTAAATGCTGCCAATTGACAGGATCCCACAAAGAGGGGGGTGGCGGGTGCGGAAAGTGGCGTGGAAAATTGGGGAGGCTTGAGGAGCAGATAAAAAACTTTACGCTGACGTCAAGCTGCAACAACCTAGATCAACAAAAAACTAAAGTGACGTCGCAAGGTGACAACAGCAAAAGCGAGTTGGAAAAACAGGGGGAAAGCGCCGGAAGAAAATTGCGGAAAATGGGGAGCCGTCATAAACAGGGGATGTCAAGGGCGGTACTGAAACTTTTAATTGATTTGTGATATGCGTGTGCCGAACACAAAGGGTGAGCAAAAAATAGATTGGTATTTATAGGGCGGAGGGATTTATCTTACTGATAAATAAATGTACTCAGTTCTGGAACTGGAATTACGCCTCTGAAAGGCTGGCTAATCTTCTTGGCAATTATATATGTTGCTTTTGCAAACAAAAAGCTTCTTATCAAACGACAAAGTAAACTCACCGATGAGAAAAAAGTTGCAGATATTTGTTGCTGCTCTCCTCGCACTGCTGCTTCTGACCATTGCCGTCCCTTTCATGGCAGTTTTTCGCCTCATTTTGTGACTATATTTTGAATATATTTTCTATAGATGTTTGTGCTGTTTTTGCTTATCGTTGGGTGGCACTTCCAAATCACTTTGCAAAAACAAGTTCTGCGATTTTTGCCGGACTTCTTATTCCAATTCGCAGTTGCTGTTGTTGTTGCAACGCTCCATTGCGTTGGTAAATGTTTTTATGCGTTCGATGATGTAGAATTTGTTATTTATTGCACTCGAAACTTTGAACGGGTATCCGAAAAACGAAGAAGAACAACTGAAAAGGGTTAAGAATGGTGATGTTGATTAGAAGTTGCTCGGCTTTGTAGGGTTAAGATGTTATATGGGCTTCCTCGGGCATTTTTGTGTTTCTTTGCTTATTCAAAGTTTTAGTTGAAATGATCGCTCTCTGGTTCTTAATAATCCACGTAAATTAAAAATACTTTGCTGGTAGTTGTTGTTTTAGCACTATGTCTTTTAATACAGTTCTATTACAGTTATTTGCTTTATTTTTATTAGGCATTGTTCACTATAAATTTGCACCAATTCCTTAAATTTGCTGTATTATTTACTGCATTTTTGTCGATGCACTTTTGAGATTTAGAAAAAAATGTAACAGGTTTCTTTACTTTGCTTGAGTTTTCTTTTTCGTCACTTTTATCAACGCATATCTTTGCTTCACCTTTATCTACCTCTCCTTTTTCACAGTTATAAATGCATTTATGCTTCACACTTCTTCGTGGTTGTTGTTGCTGCAGAGTTGCAACATGTTTTTATTGCTTTTGTTGTACTTTTGAGCAGGTAAGAAAATCACTTAAAAGGTTTCCAAGAAACACACCAACACATTAGCACACAGTCACATATACACACACACATGAAATGGACGCCAAACCTGTTTCCCAGGTAAGTCGGTAAAGGCGTGCGAGTGCGAGGGGGACAGAGCGATCGCCAGAGATCGAGGATTGAACGAGAGGGAGGGAGCGAGATAGAGATGACGCAGATGCTGCGTTATTTCTTATTTATTTTAGCTTCGTTTCCTTTTCTTAAAGTTTTAACTGTTGTTTATTTGAAATAAAATCTATTCTTTAGTATTTATTGCTGTTTGTATGTATTGTTTTGATTTTATATTCCGCTGCTTTTGGTCTTTTGATGCCACTGAAAGCACACACACATATTTTGCACAGTAAATTCACAGTAATTTCAAATTAAATTTATACCTCAAATTTAGTATATTTTCTGTGTTTTATCCAATAGTTTGGGACTGTTGTTGTTGCTGCTGAGGAGTTGTTGTCCGCACACACGCGAAAATCGACGAAAAACGCGGCGGGAAATTCAGACAACGCGCACTCACTTTTCCACGAAGCGTTCGATCCGAAATGGGAAAACACACAGAGAAAGAGAAACGAAAATTTGAGCCGCAGCCGCAAAATTCAAGTTCCACACACAGTCCGCACAAGTTCGAATCGAGCACGTTTGAAGAGAGCGGCTAACAGCGCTGTTAAGTGGAGTTAACATGTTCGATCCGACTGTTATTAAGAGAACCAAATACCGAAACTCTCTTAAGTTTGAATATATTCAAAACTTAAATAATAAATGTATTATTTTTATTTTAGAGGCTGAGTGATTTCCAGAAATACTAATAAAATTCGAAAATAATTTTAAATAATTTTTTATTTGTAACTATAGGTATAGGTAAACCATTTGGAGTTAAAAGAAGTGAAATATTTTAATAAAATTGCAATAACAATTTAGCTTAAAAGTCGTGTAATTTTTTATTTTATTATAATATATTTTTTATGTCATTGCTAAATGTACCAAAACGGTGAAAATGAGCCACAAGAAACAACAACAAGAAGCAATTTTATATGGAAATTCGAGTTGCCTTTAGCAACATGTTGCATTTTGCCTTAGGCTTTGAGTGCCTTTTTCCAAGAAAACCCGTTTCGGTGGCCAACAAGAAAAACCAGTCGGGAAAATTAGTCAAGAAAAATAAAAATAAGAAAAGCCAGCAACAAGTTGGGTATAAAAAAGGTGCGAAAGGTGCGGCGATACAGTACATGCAACAAGTTTGAGCTTGAAGGCAAGTAAACTTCGTTAAGTTCGCACACATGTATGCCCATCTCTTTCGCACCCCCTGCAGCGATCTACATTTAACCAGTTATCTTAAGATGTTGTGAAGGGAGGAGGCGAAAAGAAGGAGAAGAAGGAGTACAAGAAGAAAGATGCGATACACTAAGCAAAAAGTGTACCTAAGCGTTGGGTTTACTTGGTAATTTCTTGTTTTCTGGCTGATCTTTTGCAAAGAAAACCAGTATAGCTTAGTGGAATTGATATTAGAGCCCTTTTCAAAGGTACGAGTTGTTGGCTCAATCTTTATGCGGTTTTCGTCGCCGAGTTCATGTTGGCTTTGCCCGCTGTTCCCCTGCCTCACACCCTCCTTCCACTCCTCCACCTTTTCCACACCTCAAGTAAACCCGTTTTCCATAAAACACGTTATGTGCAAGACGAAAACCTCTCTGCTACGCCACTCGGCGGCTTAAACCTTTCTTAGACTCTTTTATGACCACACCCACGAGCCATGTTAAAAAAGCCTAAAATTTGTCGTACTTTCAACTAACAATTATCTCGATAGTTGCAGATAGTTATAGATTGGCTGGTTACAGTGTTGCTGGTTGTTATACACTGAAACCAGTGAGTGTAGTACTATTATGATTCAACCAAAAAGTGATACCAAAGTCTAGGTATAAGGTAGTGCTTTTCTTTTTTGATACTTTTGAAATACCGCGAATGATTGATTTTTTCCGCTTTGCTGGTGAGCAGCTGAATATTTTTATTTAGGAGTCAGGCCACGCGCTTTGCATAATGAATGCATCGTAGGCTTACAAACAGCCCAAGAATGGTAAATAATTTTAAAACAGATTTTCTGCTCGTTCTGTCTGTTCTTGTTCTCTGCCCAATGTTTATTGAATTTTTGATTTGCGCCCTGAGGCGATTTCTCCTCATCATAACACGCCGGACATGTCCCGCTACTAAGCACGCATACAAATGACCTCTGGCTGGGCTGGCCACGCCCCCATTTCCCTCAGGTCAAGAGCCGACTAGACATTACGCCCCCATACTTCTGGTACTTCTCACTGGAAATCCAGCCTAATTATCCCTATCCCTTGTTTTATGCTGCTCCTGGTAATTTCCTTAACTTTCTTTTCCTTGCATACTAATCGCCATGGAATCTACATTAAATGTGTATATTTCATGGCAACCAACATTTTTACACTTCCGTAGTTCAATATAATCAACTACAACTCTTCTACCTGTAATCGATTTCCATTTTCATGACTTGATACCTAATCTTCTTATTGGAAATCAAAAATCAAGGGTCAGAAGAACAAGGCTCAGATGAATTCGAAATGAAACCCAACTCTTAAGCTGAAATCAGCAAAAAAAAACAAAACAAAAACATTTCCAGAAGCAGCTGAAGATTGAAAAAAGGAGTTGAAAAAGAAACTTCAGAACCACCAGAATCTGTGGTTTTGGAGCCTACTTGAATTACAAGTAGATGCGGATTAAAATATATACAAAATAATAAAAAATTAGGTAAAGTTGTAGGAGTATGAGCTAAAAACAAAAAGAAAAAACAGGTAGTAAACAAGACAACAACAAGAAGCACCACTAAAAAGAACAATAAGAATAAGAAACTGAAGTGGAAGAAGAGAGAAAGAAGGAGCAATTCTTCTACCTAAGCCACTTCTCCGTTTCTTACCTTCTTATTCTCCTTTTGCCCACCACTTCTTGCTGCAACTCACTCCGTGTAACCAAGATTGGTAAGAAGTGAGGGCGAGGGGGTTTAGGTGCGCCAGGTGGGCGAGAAAGAGAGGGCAGTGCGGTGAGTGAGTGAGAGGGAACAGCCCTGTCAGTCAAGTTCAAGAAGTTCGAAAAAAGTAAAATAAAGCGGCTCAACAGACCAAAATACAAACATATACGAAGTTGACACACTCAAGTGGTTCAGCAAAAGCATTTACCATAATATTTAACATTTTTAATATTATGAAAGTAAAATTCATTATATATCATTTCTTATCACAAACAAAAGCTTGCCTACTTTCAATATAACACTGAAAACTTATCTTTTCGAAACACATGCATGCCTAGTTACTACTATGTATGTCCACTTAATTCGCTTTTCTCAAGTCTTCAGTCTCCAGTCTTCAGTCTCCTGTCTTCAGTCTCCTGTCTTCAGTCTCCTGTCTTCAGTCTCTTGCCTGCAGTCTTCTGTCTCCAGTCTTCTGCTCTTCAAAGTGCAGCCTGTCGTCTGTCTTGGCCACTTTGCGTTGGCCAAGTTAATTATGGGTTTGAGGTTTTCGAACCCAACTCCATTCCTTCGGCAGCTGGCAGAAGGAGAAGAAATTGCGAAAGAAAGAGACGGATGGCTTTGGTGGCAGCAAGAGAGGGAGCGGGGCGTCGAGGTTAAGGTTGGGGGCTAAATTGCAATCTCTATGAAAATTGGTGCAGCCTGCGGTCGGGGGTCGAAACCATATGCCACACAAAAGTACAGTAGAGCTAAAATAAAACAAGCTAAAATGCTATAGTCGAGTTCCCCGACTATCAGACTACTTAGCTAGTGCAAACGAGAAATTTCAAATTTCTACATCAGAAAAATTACAAAAAAAATAAAAAAAAAATTTTCTAAATTTGAATGAAGATTTTTAGAGAATTGCGCTAGAAACATTTAAAGGTATGCCACTTCAAAATCGGATTAAGATAAGTTGAGTTATGGAGTCTAGAACTTCGGATTTGGGGCATTTCTTAATATTCTTGAATTTCTACAACATCAAAAAAAAGACAAAAAAATTAAAAAAAAAAAATTTCTAAATTTGAATGCAGATTTTTAGTGAATAGCGCCAGAAACATTTAGAGGTATGCCACTTCAAAATCGGATTAAGATAAGTTGAGTTATGGAGTCTAGAACTTCGGATTTGGGGCATTTCTTAATATTCTTGAATTTCTTCAACATCATAACATCAAAAAAAAGACAAAAAAATTATTAAAAAAAAATTTCTAAATTTTAATGCAGTTTTTTAGAGAATAGCTCCAGAAACATTTAGAGGTATGCCACTTCAAAATCGGATTAAGATATGTTGAGTTATGGAGTTAACAACTTCAGCCTTAGAACATTAGTATAAAAACTATAGCTATAGTTCCACGACTATTAGATACCCGTTACTCAGCTAGTGGAAATGCAAACGAGAAATTTCAACATTTTCTGGAATATTGGTAGAAATTGGGAAAAAATAATAAAAAAAAATTAGCTAAATAATAAAAAATCTCTGAAGCTGTTGTATTTCCTGAAATCGAGGCTTTCATACGGACAGACGGACATGGCTAGATGGACTCGGCTATTGATTCTGATCAAGAATATATATACCTAATATGGTCGGAAACGCTTCCTTCTGCCTGTTACATACTATTACTACTAATATTACTATTACTAATTTTAATCAAAAACTTCTCCCATAATTCACATATGCCCAGTGTAACCTGTACCTCCGACCAGGAATCGAGTTCTATATAATTGCTTCGTGTGCGTTTCTGTTGCCTATGTTTCGAGTTCTTTTGCTGTAACTCGATTGGTGAAACATTCAGGAAAAAGAGGAATCACTTGAGGGATGCATTTTAATGGCTGCAGGGGAGGGGTACGGGAAATGGGGCTGCTTAAAAGGGGGAAGGGGGCTTGGGGTGTGTTGCTCATTCGCTTCGATTAGAACGCAATTTTCTAGGTTCTTTCAGTGCTTTTGTTGCTGCTGCGTACCGACTGGAAATTGGTCCATAAGGAACTCAATGGGAATTAAAATGTTTGTTTTCTTTTTTCAAGCAGAAAAGCGAAGAATAAGAAGCTGGTGGAACAATAACCAACCGCACACACACACAAACAGTGGTAAAGAAATTCTTTTGGGGCCCACTGTGTCCGCCACTTGAGATCTCCAATTGATTTTCCTTTTGCTGCAAATCCAAAAATACAACCACTCATCACCCCTCGATTTTTTCCCCACCAACCAGCTCTCTAATTTTATTTCGAATTGCACATAATCCGTTTTGGCCTTTCAAGTAATTGTCGTAAAATTTGATGCGTAAATAATAAAAAAAAAAATAGGAAAATTCTGTAAATGCCGAGGGAAATGCGTATAAAGAGAGTCGTAAGGTATTTTCCCATTCCACAACGAAAATTTCAAGCCATATTTTATTGCGTGGAAGCAAAGAAAGCTTAAAGAGAATAACATAATACATATGTGTCATTCACAGAAATTGCTTAGATTTATATTATAATGCCAGTCCATACACCAAAGTTTTTATTCCCATGATATAAAAATATAATAAAAATAAAAAAAAACTTGCAGAAACTGTGAAGGGCAAACCAAAAAGTAAT